CAGATTTTACAAAAATGTTTTTAAAAAATTCCTATGGGTCTATGGAGGTTAAGAATTTCAACAATTATTTTTAAAACATTGCTATAAATAGCCAACACATTTTAGTAGTGGACGATGAAGGATTTTTGAGATTTTTCTCAAGCTGGTAATCCTAGATACAACATTCTAGAAAATAAGTGATGGAAAAACTTTCCCCTGAATTATATTCTTCTGCACATACAAAAAATTTATTGACCATATTAGATGGGTTAATTCTTAACTTGTTCATCAATACTCAGGTATACAGAAATAACAGAGAGAAATTAAAAATTGACAGCAAGATGCACTAATGATACATTTGACTCTTCTATTTTATTCACTTGCTAAGGGATTTTTGGATCTCATATAGCTAATATTAAAGTTAGTCTGATTGAAGAAATATTTACAGAATGGGAAATTGGTGACGTGCACTGCAGTCATGATTGACATGGCACAAAGGTGCCGAAGGCAAAGACAGGTGATTTAGGAATTGAAAGTGCATGATGTCTTCACACACTTAATGTCCATACAGTATCAATAATAATAGCAGAAGGACATTGTGCCAAAGACCACCTATTATGTTGTAGAATATATTCTAGAACTACCTTCTCACATTTTGGTGGAAGATGTTCAAGTAAAAAGGAAATCAGCTATAATATGTTCATTGGCTGTCTGAAAAGCAAAGAGACTCAATATAGCACCTCCCAGCTCCCTGGATCACCAAGAAAGGATCCTAACACCTGCCACTGTCTTATAGAGAGAGTAGTTTGCATATGCAAATGTTTTAGGATGGCTATTATCTAAAAAAAAAAACGCAAAAGATAACAAGTGTTGACGAGGATGTGGAGAAACTAAAACACTTGCACACTATTGATGGGTATATAAAATGGTGCAGCCACTATGGAAAACAATATGGAGGTGCCTCAAAAAATTAAAAATAGAACTACTATACAATCCAGCAATCCCATCTCTGGGTATAGAGCCAAAAAAAAAATTGAAATCAAGATCTCCAAGAGATATCTGGACTCCCTTGTTCATTACAGCATTAATCACAATAGCCGAGATACGCAACGACCCAAACATCATGGACAGATGAATGGATGAAAACACTGTGTTAATATAATGGAATATTATTCAGCCAGAAACTAAGGAAATTCTACCATTTGCAACAGCATAGATGGACCTGGAAGACATTGCACTAAGTGAAATAGGCCAGACACAGGACAAATACTGCATGATTCCTCTTATATGAGGCATGGGAAATAGTCAAATGTATAGACGTAGACAGTAGAATGGTGGTTACCAGGGGATGGGGAAGGGGGGAAATGGAGAGGTGGCGTTCAATGGATATAAAGTTAGTCCTACAAGATAAGTTCCGAGATCTGCTTACAAAATGTGACTATAGTTAACGGTAAGGTATTGCGCACTTAAAAATTTGTTAAGAGGGTAGATCTCATGTTAAGTGTTCTTACTTCGTACACATACCAAGGAAAAACACACAAAGAAACTTTTGGATGTGATGAACATATTTATTACCTTGAGCATAGTGATGCTAACACAAGTGTACATATATGTCCAAACTCACTAAATTGTGTACATTAATTATTTGCAGTTTTGTGTATACCAATTATACCTCAATAAAACTGGGGGAGGGGAAGAAGAGAAAGAGAGAAAAAAAGTAATGAAATTCTGTGCTCTGAGAATGGAAGTCTTTCTCACCCGATCCCTGCTATAAAGATTCAACTCCTGGGAAGAAGCTGGAGAGGCTGTAAAATGAATGAGATACTGATGGGAATTCCCAAATGACCCTTATCTCAAAAGCCAATGGCCTTGCTGTCTTGACATGTCTGTACATCCAAGATTTAAGGAAAGTAGAGGTAGAAGTTTGTAGATCCAAGATTTAGGGACAAACTTTCTCAAGTGGTTGTAAGAAGCAACACATACCTGCAGAAATGTCAGAAATAAGTGCAGGCAACAATCATTTCCAAATACTTTGGTTTCCCCAAAGGCAGCTTGGCTTTTTAAAGCCTTGTGTAGGATTTTATTTCTTAAGTGCTTCTCATTTGATAGCTGTTGACATTTTTGACAGTCTTAGGGGTAGGGCTTTCTTTTGCCATTTTTTTCCAAAGGAAATTCCATCTTAAAATAATAGAGACAAAAATAATAGAGACAAAATGATAGCCCATTTTCAACTTTTAAAAATAGCAATTAACCCCGTCTCTACTAAAAATAGAGAGAAATTAATCGGACAACTAAAAATATATAGAAAAAATTAGCCGGGCATGGTGGCGTATGCCTGTAGTCCCAGCTACTCGGGAGGCTGAGGCAGAAGGATTGCTTGAGCCCAGGAGTTTGAGGTTGCTGTGAGCTAAGATGATGCCACGGCACTCACTCTAGCCCGGGCAACAGAGTGAGACCCTGTCTCAAGAAAAAATATACATATATGTAGCAATTAAGAACACAATAGAATGTGTTTCAGAATTCATAATTGCTCTCACTTTTCCGAGTTGGAAATGGACCTGGCCATAAACCATAAATGCTGCGTTGCTTATTTTTTAGATCTTCAAAGCCACCTGCAGCCCATTAGGTAAATCACCTAGGGCCTGCTTGAGAACAGCAGCCCGCAGGGAAGGTTCTGGACCATAGACAAAGACTCCTGGAGTGGGAAGCAAATCTGCGTCTCCAACAAGCCTCCCTGGGCCTCTCCAGGGGACTCTCCAGGGGACTCTGGCTGACAAAGCCCGGTAAGGTCCAAGAGGTAGATAAATCAGTGACTGCGGCTGTGATCACTGATGACTGTCCCCATGCCAACAACTTGAAATTCCTCACACTGACTCTCCCCTGTCTGTAGTTAACGTCGGTTGTTTAAAGTGTTGCTTTTTCTGTATTTCTTCCTATGCAAGGCTTAGCTTTGGAACAGAGGGGGAGAGAAGAGAGGCTGGAAGGATGAAGGAGGAGGAGAGGGAGGAAGGGGGAGGAGGGGAAAGGGAAGGGGGAGGAGGGAGGAGACATTGGCCAGTTCCCAGGGCTATAAAATCTTGGAGATGAGCTCGTCAACCACCAGTCCCGGAAGGGAGGAGGATGGCCCAGCTCGGGGGCCCTCTGCTGACTTGGTTCTGCCTGCTTTGCGGTATACTCAGTCTTCCACAGGAAGGTGAGGAACAATGTGGCCATGACTGGGGTTGGACATTTTAAACATGAGTCTTGCGGCACATCTGCTGCTATAGGTGATCAAACCTGAGACGCCGCGATGGGTAAGAGTCACCCTTCCTTCCGGTACCCTAAGAAAGAAAAAGATGTTCTATCTTTCAGGTATCCTTATTATGTAAAACAAAACAAAACAAAACAAAAGCATGATCCATCAGTAAGCTTTAAAAAAATAGGAAAGTTCAGCTATAACAAGGAAAGAATGAGAATGTGAATTGGAAAATTCTGTTCACAGGAGTTGTGTTACCTAATAACCATGTGTCATCCTTTAAGATATTTTAAACGCCTTCTGTAGAGGTTTTGAAAACAAAACTAATTTTTTTAAGTCTGTTTTATTCGTCTTCCAAAGTCATGTTGCCTTTAGCAATAATGAAGTGATAATATAAGAAAAGATTTCATTATGGATGCATTTCTTACATGTTTCATGAGGATTCCGCATGGTCGTGAAGACAATTTTTTATGGAAGGGCCAAGAACAATGACCTTGTGTGTATTTCTTTTAAACGTTTTTCAGGACATCTTTGCATTAAAAGAAGAAATAAAACACAATGCTGATAAGTATTTTTTTAAAAAAGGAAAGAAAGGAAAAGGAAAACATGCTCTCAGTGCAACTACAACCTCTGCTTTCTTATCAGCTAGGATTTTGACTTTACACTTATTGGAAAATAACACTTTTTGACTTGGCCATAGGTTTGTTTTTTTAAATCATACATTACTTTTGTACATACATAAAGAAAGAATATTGGCCAGGCAAGGTGGCTCACGCCTGTAATCCCAGCACTCTGGCAGGCCAAGGTGGGAGGATCGCTTGAGGTCAGGAGTTCAAGACCAGCCTGAGCAAGAGCGAGACCCCGTCTCTACTAAAAATAGGAAAACTTAGCCAGACGTGGTGACGCCCGCCTGTTGTCCCAGCTAGTAGGGAGGCTGAGGCAGAAGGATCGCTTGAGCCCAGGAGTTTGAGGTTTCTGTGAGCTAGGCTGATGCCACGACACTCTAGCCTGGGCAACAGAGTGAGACTCTGTCAAAGAGGCTGGTTAAGGTGATCCTAAAGCTTCTCCACCTTCAACGTCTGGCCTCCTGAATTATTGACATCAGATTTTTCCGAATAATATTATCTCTGTGTTATCCAGAGCCTTTGCAATGAAGCATGTCTCAAAATAATGCATAAGAGAATAAAAACCCTTTGATGCTGGGCACATTAGCCTATACTTAAAACAATGTAGTGCTAGTTTACCTTTGATCTTCAGAACTTCGCTTATTCGCCGTCTCCCTCTCTCCCGATCACTGGCATCTGCTTCCTGGCGGTCAACAGCACCCGTCATTGTCTCCGATAGTTTCTTCCACACTGAGGTGCATACTGTGAGTTTCTGATGCTGGTCGTATTGGTACAGGCAATAATGACCTTGCCCCATGGCAGAATGGCTTGCAGATATTGATAAGAAGATGCTGTCACGAATAAGAGGAAGTCTGATTTCGGAGACGTTAGACTGTGAGAAGCACTGCGTTTTAGCATTCTTGAAGCAGTGACATGGTGGCTTTGGGATCTGCTAGGTGCACAGGGTGCAGAGATTAAACGGCGTGAGTATCTCTCCTCAATGAGTGCACAGTCTACTGCACAGAGCAGGATGCAGATCACGGGTGGCACAGGCTAAATCACCCATCTGCCTGGCCCGAGAAAGAGAAAGTGACTGTTTGGCAAGACTTCACAGAGGGCTCACTTAAGTGATCTTGTTCCAGAGCTGCTTAGAAATTTGCCATGTACAAAATGGAATTTCTTCACTATTCCAAACTTTTGGGTTGTCTGGGGGATTATGTGGGAGCGGGGTCCCTTGCAGAGAGGTGGGCAGACCCCAACACGGTCTGCGAACCCGAAATCCTGGGGTTGTCATCCGTTGCCAGTTAACATTTCAAGCTCCTGTAGGGTAGGATTGCTCGTTTAATTTCAGCAAAGGTTTGTGCTAAAATGTGAACCTTGCATTGCAAGAGCCTTTACTATTTCACGGGGATGAGGAGGAATGACAGCTGAGAGCCCTCACGCACTCCCCAACTCACCCAGGGCTGAGGGCTCCCCTCCCCCTCTCTCACATCCTGCTCTGCTCCAGGCAAGCTCTGGAGTGGGGTGTCCCCTCCAGCCTCTCCCAGTTCCAACCCAGCTTAGTCTGTGACCTCAAGGGTGGCTTTGAGCCTCAGCTGTCCATGAGTTCCCATATCTGAAACAGGAGAGCAATGACTCTGGCTGCCTGCCGGGGAGGCTGGAGGATTAAATGAGTTAGGGTAGGGTGTGCGACGCTACTAGTACTACTACTGCTAATAGTACAAGTACTATTATAGTATTAAAGAGGCAGGGTGGGGCTTTGGATGTAGCAGTCAACATTCACAGCATGGGTTTGACTGCTTTAGACTCCTCCTGTAAGTGGGATCATGCAATATTTGTCCTTCTACTGGTTTATTTCACTTAGCGTAATGTCCTCCAGATTCATCCATGTTATTGCAAATGGCAGGATTTCCTTCTTTTGTTAAGGCACGAAAATATTCCGTGGTAGGTACAGACCACATTTTCGTTATCTATTCACCCATGGACAGACACTCAGGTTGATAAATGCTGTGATAATGCGGGAGTAAGTACAGGTATCTCTTTTTTTTTTTTTTTTTGATGCGCACTTTTATTTTTTTATTTTTTTTTATTTCAGCATATTATGGGGGTACAGATGTTTCAGTTACATATGTTTCCCTTGCCCCCCCGCCCCCCCAAGTCCGAGCTTCAAACGTGTTCATCCCCCGGGGGGTACGCATCGCACTCATTGTTTGTGCATATGCTCGTCTTCTCCTGCCCAACATCCAATAGATGTTATTCTTATATGTGCACTTAAGTGTTGATCCGTTAATACCAATTTGATGGTGAGTACATGTGGTGCTTGTTTTTCCATTCTTGGGATACTTCACTTAGTAGAATGGGTTCCAGCTCTCTCCAGAAGAATACAAGAGGTGCTATATCACCATTGTTTCTTATAGCTGAGTAGTACTCCATGGTATACATATACCACATTTTATTAATCCACTCATGTATTGATGGGCACTTGGGTTGTTTCCACATCTTTGCAATTGTAAATTGTGCTGCTATGACCCTAATTCCATTCCCTCTGGTTATTTACGCAGAAGTGGGATGACTGTACCATACAGTGGTTCTCTTAACTTTTTGAGGAACTTCCATACTGTATTCCAGAGTGGCTGCACCAGTTTCCATTCCTACACCGTGAGTGTTCCGTGATCTTTGCTATAGTTAGAAAATAATTTATAAGGAAGTATGTGATAACTAGAATCCCACAATGTTAGGACCAGAAGGGACTGAGGGAATATCTGGGGTCCCGGTTCTCTGCCTTTCTCAGCCCACCAACCACTAACCATGCTGCATGGACTGTCAGTGGCAGGCCAGTGTACAGTTCAAGGCTCGACAGTTGGTGGGAGCCAGTGAAGACTTTAGAGCAGGAATTTGCATTTTAGGAGGGTCATCCTGGCTGCTTCGTAGAGGAAGGGCAGTTAGGACCAAGGCAAAGGTGGAGGAGAGACAATGCCCTTTTGTTGCCATTATTCCACTGATATTTTGAGATTGTTTGTTACTGCAGCACGACCTGGCACATCCTGACTGATTCTTCCTTATTATACCCATTTTAGAAATAAAAAAAGTAGAGATTCCAACATTAAAGTTCCCCTGATAATAAATGGTAAATGTTTCAGACTAGATTTGGCTGTACCCCAAGCCCATATTCTTTTGACTCTAACATCCTCCTTCATCCAAATTAGGCCAACTATAATATTGAACTTTTTGGAGTCTTCCTAAAAGTGCAGTGAAGTAATATCTGGCTGCAGTTTTGTTTTAGTTTTTAATTTGCTGTATCTGTAAGGATAGGCTAGGAACCTTTTCTTCAAGAAAATTTATCTCCAGCCAGGCGCAGTGGCTCACGCCTGTAATCCTAGCACTCCAGGAGGCTGAGGCAGGAGGATTGCTTGAGGCCAAGAATTCTAGACAAGCCTAAGCAAGAGCAAGACCCCATCTCTACTAAAAATAGAAAAATTAGCCGGTGCAGTGGTGTGGGCCTATAGTCCCACCTTACTCAGGAGGCTGAGGCAGGAGGATTGCTTGAGCCCAGGAGTTGGAGGTTCCAGTGAGCTGTGATGATGACGCTGCACTCTAGCCTGGACGATACAGTGAGACCCTGTCTCAAAAAAAAAGAAAAGAACAGAAAAGAAAAAAAGGAAATTTATCTCCAATTGTTAGAAAATCATATTAATAAATATGTACATCTGTGATTTTCATGATGTGAATGGTGCTCTATTAATAACCTGCCAACCCCACATGAGTCCCTGAGCTGACTCTCTACATAAAAGCACTTTTAGGATTTCTTTTAGTACATGAAGGTAACTGGTCCTGGAGAAATCCAAGGATCAGAATTTTATGGTAAATTTAAAACAATTTTGATTAAGCTTTATCTAAAAAAATGAGACTCAATTTTTTCAAATAAGGGTATTTTTAAAAGCTTATATTTTAACAGAATTTTGTTTAAATTATTACCAAAGGTGAATTCTTGAGAATGAAAAAATTGAGAGGCAGAACTTTTTTGAGAAAATCATATGATTTCCCAGGTTGTATTTTTCTCTTCTGTTCTAGAGGTTCACTAAAAGGTCATGAAGAAAGCCACCTGTGTATAAGTAGTCTAGGACTGCATCCATTTTTAGGGGCTGGCCTTAATCCTTTGAAATCAAAAAAAATTATTTTTGAAGCATTTATGGAGTCACCCTAGGTGCTACTTTATGTTTTATCATTTTTTAGCTGATCATGATGGGCCAAATCCTCATTTGTCCAATATTGCTTTTATTAAACTCATAAAATCTTGCATCTTTCACAAGATGAGCAATTTCACTTTGCAGTCCATTTGGGTTGCATTTGCATCATACCTGCAACATCCCACCATTCGCAAGCAAGAGATCCCCCAGGTGGATAGTGTTAATCAGAGAGGGACGTTTGAGTGGGAACTCACATCATAATTTTA